GTCTTTTCCAACCTAAACGATTCTAGGATTCTATGATTCTTGAAGATCAGATTTGCCTTTCTGAGTGTTCAATTAATTTCAGTCTGCAAATCTGCAGAAGGCAGTCGAGGCCTCCAGACAGCAGCTCTTAGCTGGAAGCGGCTGAAAGTTGAATTCCTAGTCAGACTTCTGGCACTTCAGGAATTATTTAAAGTGGTTGGGCTCTAACAAGCTGTACAAAGCTATCTGAAAACAGCAGAAAGAAAATCCAGCAAGAACAGGCAGATTGATTTTGAGTAGTCGAACAGTTTAAGCACATTAGCCTAAGGAAGAGAGAGAGCTTACTCTGGAGTATGAGACTCCATAAAAGAGAAACCTTTGGAAATAGGTCTAAATACACAACAGACTTTCTAAAATTATAAGTTTCAGAAGTATTTGCACAACACAGAAAGGACAACATTTGATTGTACTTTACGATAGACCTTGGGTTTACATGATAGTGCTACTGGAAAATCAGAAAAATAACAACCTGGCCACAAGAAAGCCTCTCTGTAACTGGTTACTAAAGTCTTCCCCCCCCATAAGTTATGGCCCAGCTAAAGATGAAAAGAAATTAAAGCTAAATCATGAACCACAGCCCATGTTTCTGCCAGAGATCCCAAATCTCCGATGGTGCTTCTGATTTCCAAACGCCTCAGAGCAGCTTTCTGCTGCGGCAGAACACGCAGGTAAAACCAATGCACCGCACGCTGGTGTTGCCCAGCTCAGCTAACCCGACATTACATTTTCTCAGAGGAGCCTAAATTAGAGGCAGGGTGTTTAATTTTTGGTGACACTTAAACATTCATATCTTTCCAGGTAAGCCTGCTCAAGCTCAATTTCTTGAACTTTCGCTTATCTGGTATTCAGAGTGTTATGCTGCGTATCTTGTCAGAATCCTGTTTATAGGGCTGTACACTGCTGAGAGATTAGGAGCTAAAAACAGCAGGCAAAATTGAGTATTAATAAATGCAAATTAATGCTCACTAGGGAAAAGCCAATTCTCCTATATATACATGCTGATGGAAATTAAATTATTTAGTAACCCTCAGAATAGCTCTTAATGTTAGCAGACAGTTCTCTGGAATGGCAGCCCAGCATTCAGCGGCACTTTAAAAAACAAAATTAGGAATTAGTAGGAAAGAATGATGAAAAAAAATCAAAGCATAATTACGACAACATGTACATTTCTGGCCTGCCTGCGTGTTGAACACCGGTTGCAGCAGAACTAGAAAATACAGCAAAAAGCAATAACAGTGAGCACAAATGTGAAATGCCTTTTGTACAAGACGATATTAAGCTACGGCTTTTCCTCTGGGAAAAGAGGCAGCGCTTGGAACACGTGGTGGGGTTTGTGAATTCCTGAGTGGCCCAGGGAAGACAAACGGGAAACAATTGTTCACCTCTTCTCACAGTCTAAGAGGCAGAGGGCATTACCTGAAATTACTGGGTAGCTGGTTTAGGAAATCACAAAATGAATTGATTTTTCCTGCAAATTAAATTGTGAAAGCCACTGATATTCAGCATGGTAAATACTAAAAGTTTAGATGGAAAAAAAAAAGAAAATAAAGCAGAGAGAAAGGCATTAAGGGCTATTAAGCACACTGATAGAAGCTCTGATGTTAAAAAAAGAAGTCAGCGGGGAGGATGGCATGGGGAAAGAGCACAGTCCAAGCCACGCTGTTCTTCCGTGCCTCCTGCGAGCGGCCGCAGCCAGCGCTGCGGGACGAGGCTGCACGGCACAGCCCCTCGGCACCGCACCGCCTCCGCCCAACACGGACTCGCCTCTCGGCTGTGAAGTGTCCACGGTGGGAGAGATGCATGCTCCCTGCAGTATGCCAGGAGCATCTCAACTGCTATTTTATAGCTGAAAGAAAAAAAAGAAGAGCTGAGCTTTCATCAATACTTCATGGGGGCAGCATGGGCGCAGTCTTCCTTGCATTGCTAAAAAGGCTGTGCTGGTATTCCAGGTCTCACTTGCGATCTACATTTCTTAAGATCAAAGGCAGAAAATGACTCGGCCAGCTTGGACAGGGCCACAGCCAGCCGAGCGGACCCGAGCCCCCGCAGCCACTGGGCGACGGACAAGAGCAAGCCCACGAACGGCCACCGCAGAAGGCGAAGGTGAGGGCTGAAGCCCTGCAAGGCAGAGCCGCGGTTAGGCTGTCTCCAATTCCTGCGCCGCCTCCTTTCCGGATTCAGACTTAGGCTGGCTCAGACCTTAACTGCCAGGGAGAACTGCAGGAATTGCAAGTGCAGACTGACAGGCCTTTTGGGTGGAATAATTCAATGACTGGAACACTTTAATGCATATTGCATGAGTGAATCAGCTAACCGTTGTAATGCCAACCTCTCTTTTCCTTTCTTCTCCCTTTCTCTTCCACACTGGCTATCCCAATTTGGGAGGAAGCGAAGGATTACAGGAGGGTCAGCCGTGGGAGTAAAAGGTTTGATCCTGGAAACTCCAAATGGAAGCTTTTGTATTGGCAGGATCAGTGCTGCGGCAAACACTGTATCGTTGTAGAAACAGTCTGTTTCACGAATGAGTTTTTTCCTGTATCCTTTAAAAAATGTCAAATTGAAGATGTTTGACAGACATGTAAATACTGCAAACTGAAAACTGAATTAACAGTACTTTAAAGCAGCATTAATCAGACAGAACACATTCGACATCTTTCCGTACCATGTTGCCATCGGGTGACTAGCACAATCTCTTAAAATAATCCTAAAGAGCTCCTTGAAGACTACACTAGGTAATTTTACAAATACAGGACATTACTCGACAAAGAGAACATAACAAGCACGCTAAAATACCAAAATACTTCTTAAAGACTAGGATACAGAATGAAGACAAGCTTTCCTTATTAAACTTTTTATTAAAATGGAGCTATTTTTACATATTTAAAATACTTTATATCCAAATTATGCAATATTTATGAATACAACTGTATGCAAACACTTGCATAAAAATATGTAAAATCACAGCTAAGCAATATAAAGCAATATATAGCATGTTCCAAAATGTATTTCAGGACTAGAATACCTGAGTTTTCAATAAGCTGGTTTCCTGCATTTCACTGATTTTTTTAACAGTTGAATTTAATAATGTATCTGATCTCGTATAAAGCACTTCTTTGGTTGGGAGAAACTGCATGGAAAAGGCAGAGATCGAGCAGAGAGATTACTCAAGGCGTATCTTCAGAATCTTCTTCCACATGAAGATACACTCTTTGAGATGCTAGGAAGGACTCCCACGTAGCAAGGCACTTAAAAACAAAACAAAACAAAACAAAACCACAGATACATATGAATATAGCAGATAGATTTCTGTAAAACTGGTAGCCAAGGAGAACAAGAAGAATAAAAAATAGCAGAATACATAGGCATTGTCACAAGCCGCTTTTGTGGGACTATGGTAAGAGCAAAAGATGGTTTCCTAGGCAGCTCAGTGATATGCAAAACGTTAGCCAACGTGCCGAGCGAGCTGTAAAGGTCACTTCTACATAATGACGAGCGCACAGCGTGAGCATCGTAATTGTATGTGTTAGCATGGAAGATGCTGACATTAATTACGCTCTTCTTTAATCTCTCCCTTTAGTTACACGCAAAGATCTCTTCCAAATAGAAAGCGTGCCGTCAGGCACGGTTCCCTTGTAATCTCGGTGGATTCCTATTGTATACCCAGTTTTCTTTCCAAGTTAAATTAAAACATTTTTTTCTAAACACACAGAGAATTCATTTTTCCCCTGAGTAATGGGAAAGAAATGGGACCAGAAAGGTGGGGGGGAGGAGTAGGGAAATTATCATCCTTACAACAAGTGGCATTTCTCTCCTCATGGAAAAATGTATTTATAATTGTACAAACTAATTTTTTTCAGTTGAAGCACCAAGACTGTAGGCAGTAAAACAGGGAAAAGAAAAAAAAATCCCCAAATGACTGGTTCAGTGTGCCTTAAATGAGTGTTGGCAGCTTGGCAAACCATTATAAATCATAGATCAGTGTGGAAAGTCATGGCAAGGCTATCACTAGGTAACCTGTGGTGTGCTGATGCTTGTTACCCAAAGTACCAGGTTTTTACTATTTCAAGTCTGTCATTAGAGAGGGCAGGCAATTTCATGCAATAATTTTATTGTTTTGATGCTATAGAAAAAAAAAAAAAGAACCTTGAAATGGAAATGGTCTAATAAAATTTTGACTTACACACTCATACCTATTGCTCTGGACAATGCAGCTTATTTACTGCTTACTGTACTCAGTTTTTTTCATGAAGAATGTGAAATATTCACAATAAACAAGTCTTCTGAAGTTTCTCAGGAAATACCTTCTTTTATAGGAAAACCTGGACAGCATACTCCGTTTATCTGAACTTTGAATTACATCAGTACCCTGAAAACAGCGTCATTGCCTAAGTGAAAACTTTTTGCCATAAGCTATTCAAGCCACAGCAATTTGCTATGCCCAGCTACAATGAAGTGTCTAGCATCCATCTGTCATTGCTTAGGAGACACGGAAAACACGCTGGCATTCATGCTGCTTGAAACTACAGCCACCTAACTCTGTCTTCTTAGACATTTCTAGTGAATGACTTCAAAACTCTGCCATTAAACATGTAATTTAATTGTATTACACTAAAGAGCCCAGGTCCTGGTGGCATTGCATATCTACATGCAAGCAGATGAGTGGGAGGATCTGATAGTCACAAATAATGTTAAAGTATAAGCTCAAAGAGCAAAACGAAGACAACACACAGGACGACTGGAGTTGGGGGAATCCACGATGACACGACGACGCAGAACCAAGGACACCCATAAAATTCCGGGTGACAAAAGACACAAGAAAAAGCAAACAAAAGTCAGCAGCGGTTATGTCTCTGAAGACATAAAAAAGTAGAAGACATGGGTCTGCAAGGTAATGTGAGAGGTTAAAACAGCCAACTGACTTAAGAGATCCTAAAGAAAAAAGTACGTGGGACCTTATTTCTGCATGGGTTTTTGGTCATTACCAGGCACGTTAGAGCCTGTTCCTGCCATTCCTATGTTGTCCCCTAGACCACGGAAACCACGAATCTCCTTCCCCAGTCTCTCTTTTCTGATCTTGCGGACAAAATCCCCAACTAACTTCTGCTGCTTTTGCACACAACAACATTACGCTGCTGTTCAGAGCGCGTCTAAGGTTTGAGTTACTGTGAAAAGAGAGGAATGACAGGGTAAGGTTCATGTGGAAATCTGCTTTCTTCACCGACTTTTTGGAGAAACGTTATTTTGAAATGGTAAATATAAAATCAAGGAGCAATGGTGAAAGTAGCGCTAGCATGAACTGCGATCTGCAAGTGTTGCAAACTGATTTCTGACTTCAAAGGTCTTTTTGACCTTTTGTATAAAGCCTTTCAGGTTCGATCGTTGGATTCTCCCCTACTTCATGTGACACTGGCAGCTGAGTCTACCCGAGATGCTTGAACTGGAAGGTGGCATCTTGGTTTTAAAATGGCAGTGGGGCAGCTGCTAGCAGTGTGTCTGCGCTGTGGCGCTCGGACTCAGATTTCTCTTTGCTAGAGCCCAGCCTGGGTCCCCATCCTAGAAAACTGCAAGGCACGTCTCTTTTCCTAGGCTTTTTCTAGGTGTGGGACAAGAAACGATCACTGTGTCTTCTTGAACGGTCTTTTGTTAGCAACGACTGCCATTTTTTTTCTGAACCACAGTTTAATTTATACCGTGTCACTCCATGTTTTGTCATTCTGTAGTTTCAGGAATGTGAATTAAAATACATATATCAGCACTGGCTGGGATGTAAAAATGGCTTGCTGTTATCTTTGCAACACTGAGCCAAGCTGCACGTGTTAAAATGCAATCACAGTATGTTGCTTAACCGGATAGATACAATCTACTGAAGTCTTTCCAGACGAAGATGCAAAGCATTTTTTTTTCAGTTACACAAGATATTCAGTTTTTTAATTTATCCTCTTTTATATAACCAAAACACATTTTCCAAAATGTAAGAGCAATGGTGGCTCATTTCACTGTCAGACATCACAGTGCTGCTGCAGCTGACAAGTTTTATAATTAACCATACCAAAACAAAACTAGGTCTCTGTGCCTTAGGCTCAAGCTTTTTATATTGTGAAGCATGAACCGCGTAAACGACATTTCGTTAGTGATGTATACTTCAACATTATTACAGAATGATTTCACTTCATTCTCCTGGGAGGTTGAAAACAGAGATCTAACCGGAGGATCAGCCAGCTTTCCCAGAGGAGACAGAAAGGGAAAAAAAAAAAAGAAAAAAACCAAACCCAGGAAATGAAATGTGCATGCCTAGGATTGAAATTCATAATCCAATTACTTGTAAAAGCCCAGCGGAAGACATAAAAAATACACAAAATGAAATAGCAAGAGTTTAAATAAGGCTACTTTACCTAAAATGTTCCGATTACAACAGCAGTTCACACATCTGTTCTGCAACATCATTTTTAGAAAAAAAAGCTTTTCATATAGTACAATTGCCTATCTGACTAAAAAGGAGATAGAAAAATAGAACGGGTAGTAGGGATGATGACAGCAGCAGTGTGTCACGTGCCATGTGTGTTTCTGTTCCAGTTCCCTATTTTCCACGGTTGATACCTTAAAAATATCATTTATGATGGCATTTTCTGGAGCAGAATCTGAAAATGAAGTCTTGTGTCTACCTGAGAGGCAAAAAATACTTTCATAGCGAAACAGAAACTAGAGTGCATAGAAATAGTGCTTCCTATTACAAAAGAAAAGTCTTCCTGAAAGTATTTAAAAGACATTTTTATGGTTGAAATGAATGAGGGTTCAAAGATGGATCCTGGCTTTGAAGCAACACGCACAGAGACAAACTGGGAGCTTTTGAACGTCCCATGAAGTTTGTTAGCGAAATTCCCTGGCAGTGCTAAGGCAGGACGTGATCAACACGCAGGAGCAGCTAACTTTTTGCCACGCAACCAAATGACTAGTTAAATGCATCACTACGGAGGCCTCTAGGGCAAACAAGAAATCTCACCTATTTTTCTACCGCTTATACTAGATAGAGAGGTACCGAAGGGCTTTGGAGTTAGAGGGAAGTTGCTGTAATGGGGAAGGAGTATTGTTTTGCCCTAATGAATCCTTTGGATCAATTTATGCCAGCGCAGCAATATAGGTCACAGAAATAAACTAAATTATCTTGAAATAGTTAAGAAAAATGAGGAAATTGTTTATATTTTTGGAAAAGAATAAGCTGTGTCAATACCAGCAAGAACCTCACTGTATCAAAGATAACTTTAGCTTTTTATCTGATTAAGCTGCACAGGTTTAACAGGATTAGTTTGACATGAGGAAAATAAAATTAGAGGCTAAGCTTTAAAACAAAGGCTCATCCATGCACAAGAAAAAACATATTTCAATGGCAAAACTAATTAAATATGATTCTACATCATGAAAAAAACCCCAATCTCCCTGCATTTTCTAGAGTGCCTCATTAGCAGTGGAAAAACCAAACTCTGCTATATTTGCTGGATTTATAACGTCTAAGTAGTCTTTGGATCAGGCTGCAAAATCTGGCCACTTATTCCGGTGTTTTTTCTGAATAGAATAGGTTAACAAATTTCTTTGCTGAGAAAAAATGAAGTGTTTCGTTTTCTTTGATTCTGTAAATATCCTAGAGACTATAGTAAACACATGAGAAAAACAAAAGGAAAACTTCAGTAAATGTCTAATTGCTCTTTGAAGCCAGAGTCCAACATTGCCTGGTTTGCTTTCGCTAATTTGTACCAGAACCACTTCAGCCCTGCTAGCTAAACGCCACCACCGCTACCTTTGTATCTCGTTTTGGTTCTAGTAACGCTGCACCTTTAGGGCTCTGCAGAAGATCTATACCTAACTTAATGAAAATACTCCTGGGGACAGTCGGCTTTCTCAGCTGTAAGCTCCAGCCCGTGGACAGTTTGTGATTTCAGCTGTTTGGCAGATACCTCTCCCGGACTAAGGTGTGCTATTTCAGACAACGGCATCACACCTAAGGCACGGGGAAAAGGAATAAAATAAATGGTATGGGGTTAACACAGACGTCATTCAAGAACTCTTCTCTGTCAGGCAAACAAATCAATGCCATTTACTTCAGAAACAGGAGTAAAGTTCTGAATTTTTAAAAATTAAAACCTTTTCATATTGCTTCAGAACATCCTCCTGATTTTAGCACTGCACTCACAGTCATTATTAATACAGCACATTACTGCCTTTAAGCCTTTGTGGAATACAGAGAGACTGAAGCATGTATTCAACTTTTTTCCAGAAGCAAAGTAAAGGAAGCAGAGAACTCTATGAACTCTTGCAACCAGCTACAGGAATTCCAAATGTTTGGTCAGTCGTGGTAATCCTTGGCTACTAAAGGACATTATATTTAAATGTATTATAACATAGCTTGTACATGATCACTGAAAAGCTTTCATTCTCATAGGTCTGCACAGATTGGCGATTCCACAGCTGTAGAAACAAAGGAACACTTCTTGTAATTCAATAAAATATAATTCAGTATTAAATGTAGATAGTCAATAGACTGGAAGGCTACAGAAATACCTCTGCTTGTTTTGAATTGGCAAATCTGGAGAAATATAATTACAGGTAACACTTTAAAGTAGCACCTCACGTAACGTGGACATTAATTCAGCTTAAGGGAGACATAGTCTTTTATGCTAGCTAAGTGATGCTTGACAAGTTGACAGCAGAATCCTTAGGCAAGTACAATTAAGGAAAAATCCAAACAAATGCAAGGTCATACTCCTTCCCCATATTGTGACAACGAGGAAATAACATTTTAGAAATTCTAGCGTACTTTGACACACTGCTGTGGTGTACTTGATCACACGGGCTTTAGTTTTATACAGTCTCGAAGGACTGGATTCTCTACTGCGAAAGCCACCAGAAAACATGAGACGTCCGTCTCCTGTTACTCTGTAGTTCTCAGAAATGTGAGGGACGCAGAGAAGGGCCACTAGCAGGAACGACTCCTGGTTGTGCGCCTGGGAAACGAAGTCAGCAAGACTGGGGAATAACGAGGAGCGCAGTGAAACATTGCCGCAGAGGAGGGAATGGGACGCTGCTCGCGGAGAGGCGAGAACAGGAGTTGAACTGGGAGGGTGGGAAGCTGTGGAAAGGAGGAGAAGCGGGTAGTGACTGAGGTAGAAAGCAGGAGATGGTTCCTCACAGGAGATGGACGGAAGAGCTGGGCAACTGAATCATATCCATGGCATCCATGGTGCCCGGGAGCATGCACAGAACGTGCTTTGGGGAAAAAAAAGGCAAGAAATAAGATGAGGGATACTACAAGAAGAAAAGGCTTAGTAAGCATCGAACGGTGCATCAAAAGCATGAACGAGTAATTTAACTTTGGACGTGTGAGACAACGTTAATGATGCAAGTAATGACTGAACAAGTGGAAAACACCGTCACAGGCACCGTGCTTGTGCATGAGTTTAATGAGTGAGACTCAAACTATTATCTTTAAGGTAGGATTTTGTTTTCTACTGAAAGCATAAAAATCATATTCCGATTCTCTGGTTTCTGAGATTCCCTTCCTGAAGTTTCACTTCCATACAGTGAAAGCAGATGCGAGGGCTGCTGCTTCTGCTGTTTTCAGGAGCGCATTACACACCTGTAGTTTTTAATATACGGACCTCGGACAGTAATCACTTCTCCAATAATTAACCATCAGCATTAACCACAGGTCTCAAATAAACACGCATATTTTAGACCAAAACTCCCAATCTAGTATTAATTTCATCAAACTCTCTTGAATGTCAGGATTAAGATAATGATTTTCTGATAAAACGGAAAAAAATTGGCAAGCCCTCACTTTGCAAACTGGGAGTGATACAGTTAGCACAATGTTTTCTATTATTGCAACCGCTGCAGTAAGATAAGGTAGTGTTCTCTAAAATCTAGATCTACCGAGATGTAACAGCAAAAAGATTTTATGCAGATTTCAATATTCAAGAAAAGCACCAACAAAGAATAACATCTCAGTATAAACCAATTTGTCCAGTATTTCAGAGGTTATTTAAGAAGAACCACTGGCAGTTACAGAGATAGCGGAACCATTTCCTGCAGTTTGTGACTTAATGACAGTAATTTCATGTACAGTACGAGCTTTGGCGTTCTGAATTAAAATTCTAATTCAGCAAAAAGCATTTCTAGACAGGAAAGATAACCAAAGAATTAATTTTGTGTTTTAATTTAGCTAATCATTCATTAACAAAATATTCTGATATATTTAGTATCATTTTAACATACGTATTGCTGATACAGAAGTCAGAGATCATCAATAACTGAAGAAAATGTGAGAGGATGCCAAAAGCTTGCTGCCTGATTTCAGAAAATATTTTGATCTTAATATGTAACAACAGATTGTCAATGTCCGTGCATCTCACAGACTGTATGTTAATTAATTAGACTTGATGATCAAGAGCTCTGTCTTTTCAATTATGTTTTAACAAAATCATTTGTAAAATCACGACACTGTCACTGGCTAACGGGCAATCCATAAAAAGTTCAAAATACAGGATTGGAAGTTACAGATGTCAACATATATCTGTGAAAATTATGAATTTATGATTAATAGAGGGCTTAGTTTATTCCTTATTTTCCCAAAATAAGGAGAAATTCTTTTAAAAAATTCAAGATCTCTGGGATATTTTCAAAATGCGCACTTCAGTCAACATGTTCCCCAGGAAGAAACTTCACAGAATGCTTAACGTATTTTGTTATATGTTTCCAAGTTCTCTTTCTCTAGCATATATTCTTGTAAAAGGGAATTCTTACTGAGAATATTAGCTGTGGCATTTGAACTGAAAATAAAAATCTAATTTCAACCACTTTTCTTTCCTTCTGAAATAGTAAGTTTCAATTATAAAAAGATTCAATTTATTAATGGCATGCAGTTGCAGCAGGTTGGTGGTTTTTTTTTTTTTTCAACATGCAATAAGCTTGTCATATTGACTTCTCAAAATTGTATTGTTCTTTATCCTAGCAAAGTCCAATTATTTCACGAAAGACAATTCCTTAGGGAAATAACAATGAGGACTTCCTGAATGTGCCATCTGAAATGGAATCGCATTTAAACGTTTCCCTCATACAAGATCACTTGCACAAGTTGGAGCTTTCCAGAGGGCTCCTTCATGCAGTTACAGCAAAAGGTTTCCACACTGAAAGATAGCAGCTGCCATTGAACCAAAAAAATATGTTCTAAATTGTTGTGGTTAGTAAAACAAGAGTGCCCTCTGTCGATGATGAACTCAGGATCAACCACTTGGGCACAAATAAAATACATTTTGCTTGAAACGTGTCAAATTAAGGATAACCACCTTCCTCCTCCTGCAAAAACCGATGCTGAAGTTATCACAGGTTTGAACTAAAACGCAAAAATTCCGCTTTACAGACAACCCATGGACCTCTCCACTGAAATAATCAATGAAAAAATAACATTGCTTTGAGAAAGTGCTTTACCTCTTCATAATAACGGAGATTATTCTCAGCCACGTTAGTGAACGTTGATCTCATATCACACTGCATGTTTTGCTTCCACCTGTCCCAATCCGCCTTCAGAGCATTATTGGCACATTCGACTTTGTCTTCAAGTTTCCCGATCTCTTCTGAGAACTAAATGTGAATTGTAAACATTAAAAAAATATCAGTAAAGTCACCGTTTCAAAAGTGATTGAAATCAAGTGATCAGTTTTAGTGCAGACAAACAGACCTGCAGAACCAAGGTTGGTATTTAACTTAGCAAAGAAAATCGTTCCCCAGGGATAAATTTAAATTTTATTCTTAATGAGTAACTCAGTACAATTTCTGAAATACTAATAACAAATTCTAGACCAGAATTAAAGTGTTGCTGAAGATAGTTTTATTGACTGAGAAGTTACAGACTCTGGCACCTCTTCACTAGCACTTGACAGTAATGCATCTGAAAAGGAAAATATCGAAGGGTTTACTGAAGCAGAATCAACTACACAAATTAGATTTGGCCAGAAAAAAGTGAGAAAACCTTGGCAGAACCTTTGATAACCTCAGGAGAAACCAGAATGGGGAGAAGACAGCAGAAATCAAAAGCACAAACTTTCTGATTTCTTGCCTGTCACCTTGCAATCTTTTCTGGTGGCACTAACCTCTGTGTCACCATGTGAGGGAGAGAGAAATACAGAAGCAGAGAAAGACATTAAACCAAAGGACTTCTGCAGAGAAGAAACTCTTTCACAGCGATCCAGAATCAAAAAGCTTGAGGGCTACTCTACAGACATTATTTTCTTCTAATTACTGTAGATGCACAAAGTGACTTTTCAGCTAATGGGAACGAGTAAGTGGACAGAGGCCCTCTCTTTAATGAGTCTTCTGGTCCTGTCAATAATTTTGTTACCTATTGTCATTTACTCATCAGCTGCGTCAGTCCTGGCTGGCACCCAGCCGCAGAACGCGGTCCGTCTTCCGCAGCTACAGTGCAAATCCCTCTGCTGGGACTGCACAGCGACTCTGCAGCAGGAGGGAGCTCGGGCAGAAACACCACCGATCAGGAACATCAAGCAGGAAAAGTTAATCTCCTTGTAGTGTTTCCATTGCAACTCAGGTCCCGTACACCTTCCTCTTCTTCCCTGTATTCTGCTGGCAGGCAAATTGGTTTTTCCTCATACAACACCCCTGTTAAGTAGGATAGCTCCTCGTGCTCTCTGCAGAGCTGATGCTTTCATTGATAGGAACGTCAGGATTCCAGGATTAACTTCCAGGATTTCCAAGGAATGCTTAGGCTATTGGCAGAATGCAGAAATGCCAAAATTCAGAGCAGGATGTGGAAAGTCTTGGCTTTGCCAGCTTGAACCACGCAGGGAGGACAGGTTCCAGGGCAAGAGCCGGCAATGCTGCCGCCATCAGAAATGAACTACGCAGCACTGAAACCGAGCCCAACGCTTAACTCACAACCCACGGATCCCAGTTCTGTTTGACATACCAGCATCCTTCAGCTCTTAAAGTAGCCAAAAACTCCTCCGCTAGTAAAACTAAAAACTTCACCTGAATGGATTTCCTCCACATTCCACGATGCAGAGATGAATAAATATTTTTAGTTAGATTTGATTTCTATACTGATTTTCCTTGTCACACTTCTAGATTAATGAAATACTGTTATCAATCAAGAACAAAATGCAAAATATTGTTTCTACTTTACTGAAAAGCCCACGTTCAATTATCTAGCCAGACTAAGGACAAGGGTAATTTCAACTACCACCACTGTATTCAATATGAAAAGGTTAATCCGAAGTGTAAATGTGGGGAAGTTACCTTGAAAGGAATTACAGGCAGCTGCATTCGGTATCTTAGGCATGTCCCAAGTTAATTGCCCTTCCTTCAAATACCAAAAATGAATGCACACCGAACACTGAAACCAGTGAATATTTTTAGATGATTTAGAGTAGGAAAGGAAGTTGAATCCATTTTCTGCTTTTGCAAGAAAGAAGTTCCTATAAGGGGGTGAGCTAGGCTACACACATAAAGAACTTCTCCGACTTAGAAGTCCTGGCTGCAGCAGCTTCCCCTTATCTCATTCTTCATACCTTTAAGACGTTGACTTTACAGTTTGTTTTTGTCTTGCCTTTTCTAGGAACTACGCATTTCTTCCACGGTGTAGTCACAACGTGATGTGGACAGGCAGACTCAGCTCTATATCCCTGCTTGGATATGCGGTTTAACCACCACCCTCTAAAGCCCCCCAAAACCTGTGTGTTGTATCAAGGCAAGGGCTGGATTTAAGGTCTAAAGACAGCATTATGCCACACTTCTTCATCTCAAGCAGAGAGGTTTAAGATCTTCTTTTTCACAACTGAAAAGAAACATAAGTGCCACCCTCTTCAGCTGCCATGACAGCAGAAATCGAAGAAGAATGGCTTGGTCTCGACAAAAACATCTACCTAGTGTGCTCCTCATTTCCAAGGTGTAAATTGTTACAATTTATCCTGCAAATTAAATATGAGTCTGAACCCATTTTCTTACACTGATCTCACTGAGGCAGCCAGTGTGATAAATTCAATCTCACATCAGTGGTCCCCAGAGAAGGACAGCACGGTGCTAATCAGACATCGGACCACGGGACGGGAAGGTGGGAGCCGGGCACTGCTAGGGCAGAGCGCCGGCGGACGTGAGCAGCGCGACCCGTAGCCCAAGAGACTCGGCCCGACAGCCAAATTCCCTGGTAAGTGACACAGCATTTTACGCTATCTCACTATGCAAAATAGCACGAATTTCTATCTGCTACATGAATTCATCCTACAGCTTGGTGATGCTAACCCTTCTTGGCCTGGAGTGAAAAGATAAGACATATTCAGAATGTGATCGATTCAGCATTTCATCTCTTCACTACTTAGTTTCAAGCCTGAACGCTAGAATCCTTAAGTTAGCATTTAATGCTTACCTGGTTCTGTCAGAGCACATTAGACCGACCTTCTGTCAGAATTACTATTAGCACTAGTGGCAGTACCAAAACTGTTAAAAACTCCCAGTCCACAGAGGGATGCACTAGCGTTGCTGTGTATGCCTTCAGGATGGAGCACGGGAGCGGCGGAGCCACAAACTCCAACGTCTTTACAGCCAGAGCTCTGGAGGTAAGACAGGTCTAGATAAGCAGGAGGACACCGAAGTCCTCCCAAATATCTCTGTCAGAGCCTGCATCCAAAATCAGAGTCTTCAAACCTTCCATAGCCTGAACAACTGCCTTCTTCGTGGACTAAATTTTGGAGTGGGAGACAAGGTTTTGGCTTTTTAGCAGCACCGCAAGCAGCTTTCTAAAAGCCCGGTGGCAGAAGCACAGCTCAAGAAAACATTTTTTTCCCAGCCACCGAGCGTGACATCTCGTAACGTTTAATTTGCGATTCCAGCCTATTTCAGCTGCACTGACCTTGGGGATGTTTTGTATTCTCCTGCTGTATAACCTCCTGTTTGTTAAATCACTTAATGTTTGCCGTGACCAACGCTAAAGATCTCACAGCCTTTTATCAGCTCTAATGACAGTCTGAGATTCCTTATCTGTGGTGGAAATGTACTTCAAATGAGATTAGAGTTCATGCCACTCATTGTCAGCAGAATTTCTGGCTACTAGATTGCACTGACAAGTTCAATCTGACATCTATGAGATCATTAGAAGCTACAGGAGTTCTGCATAGGAATAGAAATGTGCAAAGACAGCCAAACTCAGGGTTTGACACCAATCCCAATAACAGTATCTGTGCTATGACCACCTTTTATTCTGAAATCAGTCTGGTTAGAAATGTCAGCAATATTTCAACAGATAACAAAAATGAAAACATAGTAAAACACTGGTTCAGAAAACAGTTAAAAGTTACTTGAATGGTTAAAAATAGCAGTACACCTTTCTCTGTGGCCAAACTATCATTAATGGAAAAAGCCTTCAACTTCTAATTAAGAAAGTCTTCAGGATACAGCTGCCACTCAATTAGAGAACACAGGATTTTATGATCAGATTAGACTAACAGACATCTGTTTTACTGCTCTCGTGAGACTGCAAGGAGAATCAGGCTCTCAGAAACGGGATTTTTTGAAATGAGTAAGGAATAGAGGTGTTGGAAAGATAGAGCAAAGATCTGAACACCTGGGTAATCACGCTGTCCGAAGGCTTTTACCAAAAGTGTAAACCCAGTTTTGGAAACACAGAACCAGTGAAAAAAGACCAGGTTTTGCAAACTGATGTCAAAATTTTACTGGAAGCAAGTCCAAACATCTCATTACGGAGTAAACCATTGCCAGTATCAATCAACACGGCATGATCAATACTCTGCTAAAGGGAAAAATGGTCCTTTTTTTCTGTAACAGTTCAGGAGAAGAGAGAGCATGCACCTCGTCTGAGGACTCCATCCGATTATAACAGAAATACATTCTGAAAAGACCACGTCCTGCCAGGCAATGTTCCCTTCCCTACGGTGGACAGCAGTAAGGCTAGCTGCTACGCAAGCTGTATGAAATTGCAGTTCAGCGCTGAATCGCTCTCTGCAAATGCAACTGTTTTTAGCAGGTTGCCAACAAACCATACGAATGGGAAGTACTGATGAAAAGGGACGCAACGTCGCAAAGCTGCTGTAACTAGCTGCATACAAATAACTTACGCAATGGCGTATAAGACTCCTTCCTGCCGGAATAAATTCTTAGAATGATTGAATCGTAGAATATGTCAAGTTGGAAGGGACCCACAAGGATCATTCTTAATATATCCCGTGCTTTTACAGGCAACGCAACTAACGCGTGCTGCCGGCACACGGGGCAGCCACGGCGCGGGGTGCTGGGGACGCGGGTGGGCTACAGGAGGAGCCTGCAGTGGGTCTGCCGGTGCCCTCGCAAGGCAAACACGGGAATTCGGTGGCCCGCAGCCAGCCGAGGACTACCTTGCTGCCCCAACTCCCAGCCAAGGAGGCTTCTCCAACTTACCGTCCTCTGTGCATTTTATAACGGCTTCAAACTTTATACGTAAACTAAGGACAAAGGACAGGAGAAGCGGCCGAGGAAGTAGAGAAACAAAAACAGATTAGAGAACGCCAAGGCAGTGAAATGAGAGGAAAATATACGTAAACAGCATTTCTACTTCAGGAAAAAACAAAACCAGAGGTATTTACTTACTGTCCCACTGCAGTACACAGAGGCACACCGTTACAAAATACACCATAGCCATCTTAGATATCAGACAGTGGTAATATATTCTTATTTATTCAGCTCAGTGACAAGAAATCAAATAAAAATATGCGTTTCAAGTGCCAAAAACTATCTAAACGCCTCATCTTTACGTGAAAGTTAATTACGACAACCCTAATAAAAAGTATCTGAAATGTCAAGGACTTTCTCCTTTGATGTACTAAAAAGTTACAGCAATTATTAGTTAGTCATTTTTATATATTATGTACACCATATAACACTTTGTATTAACGCTGTGCTAAAAGGACATTATTTAGGCTGGAGAGTTAAACAATCAAAAATTTAAAAAATGCCAGTGCCCATCCCAGAAGTTCCTTTTAATCGGCCAGCTGAGCCTCGCTGGTGGGTTTGGGGATACCTACCCCCAGTTACGGTCTGAATTCACTAGAATGAATGCAGGTGTCATACTGGAAATAAAAACAAAAAAATAAACAAAAAAAACCCTGGACCCAACCAGGTAAGACAGAAACCTGAAAGAACAGAATCCAGAAGTTTTTATTTTAAGTAAGTGTAATGAACAGCTTTGCTCATTCTAACCACCTCCTTGCCCTCTCCTACATCAACGGAGCAGCAGCTACCAGAGCACTGCAGCAAGTCTTACTTTCTTTTAGCTCCCAGTGTGGAAGTAACCAGAAATGCTAAAAATAAGCTGCGGTACGGTCTGTGTTGACAAAACACAGTGCTCGCCCGCTATTACCAGTCCTTTGCTCCAGCAGCCCTATCTACTGGAGTTCTGCATCTTTCTCGTGATTGCCTTTGCCCGGCACGCACAGCTACAAGGGCCAAACCTTTTCAGAATATGAGAATTCTAGAGACACCATCCAGTTACAAAGCACGGCTTCGGAGGACACGCCTTCTGCAGGGGATCAGCTTTGGCAGTTACAATAAGGCCTGGAAGATTTTGGCTTTCCGTGCATACTCACCAGATCCTTTTCTGTCTTTTTATTGGCTAAAGCATCAACTCTGGAGTCGAGCTCGCCTTGAATTTGGTCTCTCCTTTTCAAAACACCCTTAATATAGAAGAGAAAAACAAAAGTAGTAAACCGCACCAAATTTTAGCCATCTATTCAGAAAACCATCAAACAACTCGGCTATTTAATAAATTAAGCAAGATCACAGAATGATGCCATTTAATACTTTTGACACGATACATGCACTTTCCTCAAAAAAATCTTAAAATCATGTAGTGCAGACTTATTTTTCGATACCTGTATTTTATCTTATGTGTTTTTCAAGAATCTTAGTAAATCCAAAATCAGTTCCGCAAGAATCTGCCGTACACAGTATCACTGCTAGTTTTATGAGAAAAACTGCAACAGCAGTTTACTCAGTATCAGCTTGACTTACTATATATTCATATTTTAAAACAACAACATGAGCTTGCCAAATGTCACGAACAAAAGTATCTTCTTTGAGTAGAAGTTACAATATAAAGTAGAATAAATGACTAAAAATGGTATACCAGGCATTACTGAAATTGTGACTTTAACCTTCAATATCATTTCCTAAGTGCCAAACGTAGTTCAGTAAAATCAGATAAAATTATCATAAAAATGATAGATGTTCTAACATTGATATATGTGCTTATTTTCAGCATATGTAATTATTTCCTCCTTTAAAACTGTCTTATCAGGTATTGGATTTTTAGCATAATGTCAAAAAATAATTAGAAAGGGGAAGGAACGTTACTTGTTAAACTACAAAACAGGAACGGTATTACAGATTAAATTTCCATTTCCGATGCTCATTTGCTCTGTGACCTTGAGGAAGCCTTACAAATTTCTCTTTGCCTTAGTTTCCTCATCTCTAAAAGCACACTCAGGTGTGCTTATCTCACGGAAACATTGCAAGGCTTTAGTCCTTTTAGAAAAAATAATCAGGAGGACATATATAATTACAAATCTCAAAACCTTCTTTTACATTACCTTGCCACAACTGGTTTTACTGCTTCTTCTGCATACACTAAAGTGATTTTCAGTATTCACCTCTAGCATAGGGCATGTTGAAACAGCACAGGGCACAAGCAGCTCTACCTTCTCTAGCTGTCTTATTTGACTGAGTTCTCTCTGAAATCTTGTCACTTTAACAAACACAACAGAATAATTTAGGAGGTTAATTTTCAAATAATTTTTCAGCGTTTCTTTTTGAACAGGTGCTCGCTAGAAAAAAATCGGTAAACCTGACTTCGGACAATTCTGAGTACTAGATTAGCAATACATACTAATGCTCATAAATGTACGTTTCAATAGCTCAGAATATCTTTTGGCTGGATAAACACAGAAAATGTTTAGCTGTAAGCACAGAAGCAAAACAAGTATGTCTGGAACAGCCTTCCTTCATATTACGAATGCATTATCTTTTTTACTATTTCTTTTGCCTCTTTAAGAGCTGTTTTAATGACTTTGTCCAATTTATCACAAATACTCCTTAAATTGCAAGATAAACCCAATGACTTTAATATTAATGTGCTACAACTATAGACAAGTGCTGACTTCTAATGGCAAACAGAGGGACTATGTTTTTAAAACATATTATTATACTTTTGCAATTTTTTGGCGTAATATTTAATGGTACCCTGCCACAAAACCCTCAAATATTTGTACGTGGGCCCATAACCAATCTATTGCTGCCATTTGTACCCTGAGGCGCAGCAATACTCTGCATTCCCAGATTTGTTCAGTGAGCCAGTTAGGAAGGAGCCAGTCCAGATGCAAATATTTTAGCTATGAATTCATCTCTTTCCCCAGTTTAAGGCTGAACTCCCAAGACCGGCAAATACAAGGATTGCATTGTATTGAGCGCACCTTCTTCTGCACGCTTGCGCGTGATCTTGGCAGCACCGCACAAAGGTCCCTGTGATGAGGGGTTAAACACACCTCTGAAAGCAGGTTTTACCAGTGTGTGACCTCCCCTGCGGTATTTTTATCCTAACTAGTAGTTCCCTCTGCAAACGGCGAGAGGGAAGTAAACCACAGGAAAAATAAAAATCCACGGCAAATGGAAGGAAAAGAACAGTTGTAGAACAGGAATGAGCTATCGGAGGAAGATCTTCCTCCGGATAGGACCTCAAGGCAGCCTAATGCTGCACTGCAAGTGTTCCACCAAGAACACTGCAGGCAGAAAAAAAAAGCAATGGGCAACGGCTACTTGTAACGTGTGCGGAAGAGCCAGGTAGCCACTCTGGGGTTTGTCCACAGAAACCTCTCTGTGCTCAGGACCAAAGAGAACACCTGAGAAAGGGCGAGCCAGGCTGCAGACTAGAAGGCAACGGGCAGGCAGCATCTCTTCAGCAGCATGAAGGCTGGGGTGGCTCACGGGTAACACACTTAGAAATTCTGAACAATAAGTTTGGAAGCGGGGGAGAGGAAGACGACCTGCAATGGCTAGGACAGTAATCTCCTCAGACCTTTAAGCGAAGCAGTACCTACCTCCATCTACCTGCACGTACACGTAAGTAACGAGGCCTGTGAGACACAGAACGTTCTGTATGGCCCCTCTTTCAGTGAAGCTGGTAAAGACAGCAGTCATTGCAGCAGTAATCCTTACCCTCAGCCTTACTGAGACACTGGCAGCGCTCTGCACAGTGCCAGCAAAGGCTGAGTGAACTGGGGTCTTGCTCTGCCCGTGCCCTGTAACACACTCTCACACAGAAACCACTGCAGCAGGAGCTGGGTTCCCAGCAGAGAGGCAAGAACAGATACCGCAGCTTGCGTTGCTCAAAACCTGCACAAAGAGGGCTCTGTCCACGTTTTCTGCTTTCTGGAGGCAGCAAGAGTGGGAATTATGACATGCTGAATTATGTTGATTATCCATCAGCACTGAGTTTATCAATTCTGAAGTCTGATTTTTTCACATTCTCTCCGAGTGTAAGAAAAATACGTACATAAAGGGAACCGAGAGCATCACCTTAGGGCAAAGACTAACACGTGTTTATATTAATGGCACAGGGACTGGAAGTTCCCTGCCGCTCGGGAAAAAGTTTTCACATTCTCTCCGAGTGTAAGAAAAATACGTACATAAAGGGAACCGAGAGCATCACCTTAGGGCAAAGACTAACACATGTTTATATAATGGCACAGGGACTGGAAGTTCCCTGCCGCTTGGGAAAAAGAAAACATAGTTTAGGAAAATCTCCTAGAAAGGGAAAAACCTCTCTGCTCCTCTTCCCCCACACAATCTGTTACTCGATGAGTTCCTATCTCAGCAGGGTCAGAGCAGGTCTTTCTCAGCTGCTGTTCCCCAAACCTTCCTGCGTTCCCGCCTCTCTGCTACAACGCAGAGCTCTGAAGATAGCAAAACCAGGCACTCTTTAGCCCAGCTACCAAGGGCTGCTTGCCACGCAAAAGGATCACGCTCTTCTCATCTGGAAGGGGTGCTTCTTGCCCAAGCAACATGGGAAGCAGCACCAACCGGATCCCCTGCTAACAAACAGCTATCCTACGCTGTGCACGTTTAATAACGACGGTAAACAGAGGGACTGCAAAACCATCAGTCGCCAACCCTCTAGCGTTTGTCACTGCACTGAGCCAAACTTTATATACAGCCATAAGCAATCCGTAAGGAGACCTTACCATCAGAATTTCACTGTAGAGAACGTATTCATGTAAAATCGGCAGCAGGTTTTCCGAGAGCCCTGCCATTCGCTTCTCCGTAGCCTTGCAACACTTGTCGATGCAGCTGGCAACACCTTTGAGGGAGTCTGCTATATCTTCTTCCGATGCTGACCAGAGTGTGTGGATGGGGCCGTATTCCTTCATTTCATTAAAATACTCTTAACAGGAACATATACACATATTAGTCTTTTGTTCGTTAATAGATGTCGAAGTGATACTAATTGCAACCTCAATTTGTTACTGTGAACAAAGCAAGAGACTGAGGCTAATGTTTAAATTTGCTCAAATGACCAAGATAAGTAAACTGCAGTTCATTGTTTATGAATAAACTAATTAATGTGATGAAGTAGTTCCTAGAAACCTATCAGCAAAAATGCGGCAGTCATTTTAAAAGGACACATACGCTCTGAGACCTGATGGGTTGTATTCGGTTCACCCGATGATCTGAATTACTTCACGTTGTCTTCATACAGAGGGACATGAGCAATAGCAGCCCTGGGCAGCGGTCGGTCTGACTCGCTTCTACCGCCCTGAGTTCTTCTGCTACGGTAATGCTCCGAATCTCATAATTAAAACTAGTAGCCTTGGTATGTCCCAAAAGCTGCAGAAGACACGCTGAAGTTCACTCCAGTTCTGCAGGTGTTATCTCCTTTAGTAGTTTTTATTAATCTAAATACATGGGCACCCTATGAATTATTTCTCTTATGTCTCTAGGCCAAGTGATAATCTGTAAGCAGAAAGAAAAAGGTCCAGAATTCACTGTGCCATTTGGCAAGACGAAACTTGGGCAAGGCTGGATACGACCTGGAAGCTGCATGTTCACAGCGGGGTACTCTGAACACATTGGTCATGTATTGAAAACACAATTTCATCACAACTGAATTTATAATGAAGAAATGTCCAGGAAAAGATGCAAAGCAGACCACGTGCCGTGACGAGTGTACTGCTTCCTTTGAGATTAATTGGACAAAAAAACCCTCCATGGAACAGATAATTAAGAATCCCATGTTAAGCTAC